TAATTTTTAATTTTTTAATTTTTACTATCTTAAAAATATATAAAATATTAATTAAAATAAATATAAAATATATTATATATTTTTGAGATATTAAAAAAAATAAAAAATTTAGAACTACAGCCATAACCTGCACTCTCAAAAGGTACCTAACTTAGAAATTAATAGTGAAATGAATGACCAATTTAAGTAGAGAAGCTCACCAGTATACTATGTTAAATAAATAAAAAATAGATTAATTAAATTGAACTCCTTTTTTTTTTTTTTGTTGTATAATAAGAGCAACTTTTTTTCGTTCTTTATCTCACCGTATTCACATACTATGTGATTTGAATTCAATAACTCTTATTTTTATTTCTAATAGATGAAAACTACTATTAAATTATTTTAGTTGTTGGCGATTGAACTTTTATTCTTAGTTAAGGAATGATACATGCAATGCTAAACAAAAATAAATTACGTAGTAATATTTTTTAAAACTAAGTTAAAATAAATTACTCCCCTACTCTAAAATTAGTTGTTTCATTTTTTTAATTTTTTACGCACATTTAATAGAATATAAATGAAAATTATTATTTTTTTATTTGTAATTTTTGTTAAATAATTTTATTTGATAAAATAAATTTTATTTATTATTTACTTATTATAATATATAAAAAAATTAATTGCTACTAACAATTCAAGTAGCACATTATTAATAATCCTTTGTAAAAACAAGAGGCTGTAGATTCGAATTATATCACATGCATACGTGTCATGAATCAAATTTTACCAAGCAATATATATAATGAATAAAATTTAGCTTTAAAATGACATTATTATTTTAATTATATTTAAATATTGTGTTGCAGGAGACCATGTTGCTTGAGACGTACAAATATTAGGCCTGGTCCTAATCCAAAAGGATGTAAAAAGCCTGCAAGCCCACCAAATTGACGAACCCGTCCCAAGTCCTCAGTCAAAAACCCAACCGGCTGATATTATGAAAGAAAGACAGCCTCTCGAGAAGGGGAGGTTGGGCAGCCGAAAAAAAAAAGAAGGGGGAAAACGGAGTCGTCTCCTCCTCTCAGCCTCCCTTCATCCCCCGTTTTTCCATCTCATCACCATCTTTGCTGACCATCATCATCATCGTCACCATCACCATCATCGTCACCAAAAAGCCATTGAAGAGGGAAGGGGTTCTGGCCACCGAACGGCCACAGAAGCCTGGCTAGAAGGGAGGAACCGAAAAGAATCAGGGGAAGAAAACAGATCTAGATTCTGGCCGGTGGCGGTTTTTCTTTTGGGAGAGCACGGGTGCTGGTTTGTGGTGTAAGGACGGAGTAACACTGAAGGATCGAACGGTCGGGGATGAACGGATTCTTGTCTGGAGGCGAATTTGGTGGCCGGTCAACAGGGAGAGGAACGGTGGCTTGAAGGTTCAGAAAACGGTCCTTGCTTTAGGTAACTCTCTAGAACAGAGGGGTTTTCGGAGAGGATGGTGAAAGAGATGGACGGAACAGGTTCCGTGGGAGGGATCCCTCCCTCCTGATCCCGATCTGCTCTTCTCCAGAAAACTCCGCCTTGGGTGTTCTTCGTTTTTGAAGTTTTTGTATTGTTCTGATGGCTGTCATTTAAATTTGTATGAAGTTGTTAAAAGAGCAATGATATTCAATGATCAGTTGTCTTCTTACCCGCATTTAGTGGTTGGATGCTGGAATCTTGAGTTTGAACCGTGCTGTTTTGTTAAATTCGTTTTTTTCAGAATTAAACCCTAATTTTCCTTTTATTTATTTATTTTTGGATTTGATCTGTTTTTACCAATTTCTACCATCTGGATATGTTTCTGGTCGGATCAATCTGACCCGCCAAATGGAATAATCATTAAAAAATATTAAAAAATACAAAAGAAAAATAATAATAATAAATCGATTATGGTAATTAGGTTAGCAGATGCTTAAGGAAATTAATTAATTTTAATTAGAGTAAATTAATTATATTTATTAGTTTTAATTAAGATAATTAAATTTGTTTAATTATTTTAATTAGAGATTAATGAATATAATTAATTAATTTTAAATGAACTATCAAATTAACTTAAAGATTTATCTAAGATTGGAATAATTAATACACATTTTTTATATTAATTAGCATAAAAATAACAAAAATTAATATTAATTTTTATCTTTTTAATGACAATTAATGTTAAAAAGTTGTTCTTAGTTAGAAGAATCTCTTAATTTAATTATTATAATTAATTAATTTTAAATTGTATTTTCCTTAATTAAAGTCATAATTATTTTTCTTTCGTTTCAATTTCACCCCAAATTTTCGTGATTGACCAATTTAGTCCATTCGTTTTAAATAATTTCAAATCGGTCTTTTAAATTTTAAGTTTAGTCAAATCAGTCCCTGAACTTTTAATTTTGTTGCAATTGTGTATGCATGTTCTTGATTTTGTTCAATTCAATCCAAAAATTTTCAAATCTTACAATTTTGTTCATCTACTTTTCAAGTTTATTTAATGAGATTTAAAGAATAAATAGGTTGAATAAACCCTAATTTTAAAGTATTCATATGTTTTTATAGGAAGGATTATGAAGTGCATATGAAGAGCATGTATGCACTTCCTCACTCTTAACCAAACTCTCAAATCTTAGTTTTATGCAGACTTATTTTTTGATGACTTGTTCTATTTTACAATTTGAATGAGTGACGATTTTATATTTTCATATTTAGACACTTAATTTTATATCATTTTTCATAATTTTAAAAGTTTAAGTGGTCGTTAACAGTATTATTATAAATGTAAAATTGTGCACAAATTGAGATAATTACAAGAAATAGTAGAATATCGCAATTAATGCATGGTGAGAATTAACAATGAGATAGTTATGACTGAGAATTAAGATAACAAAAAATAACTCAATTGTAAGTGAAAAGAAAGGTGATTAGTGACTAAATTTACAAATTAAAAATAAGATGATTAAATTAAAAATTATGATAAAAGTAGGTGACAATACATCTACCTTACCCAACTTTTCTTATGTTTTATCTTTTGCTTTCTCAGTTGGTTAGCATATGTTTTTGTAACGAAGAAAAGAGAAAAGAAGTCCCAAGGAGAATTAATTAATTAAAATTAAAAGTGATATTAAGTTTGAATCTTTAATTAGTTGGGAAGAAATTTGAAAAAGGGAAAGGCCTATAACCTATCATCTGATGCCAAAAAAAAAAAAAAAAAAGGAAGACAGAGAAATGCAATCTGGGAAGAGAGGGAAAGTCTTACATACCTAGTTGAGATATGTAACTTCTTCAATGTCAGATAGCAAATTTCACCAATTGTTTGGGAATAATTAATGTAAATCTATACTTTTTTTGGAGTAGAGTATGGATTTCACCAAGATGATGCAATATCTGGAGAAGGGTGTGCAAGCACTGATCATAAGTTGTACACTTGAACCATAACCAATACTACAAAATCATCAAAAAGGAAAAAAAGACGAAGAAGGTAGACAGGGAGATGGAAGTAAATACTTACAGAGTTTGTAACTAAGCATGTGTTGTTGATTGCTTTCTCTCGATCTTGCTTTTAGATTCTCTTAATATGCAGTAGATCATGTAGATCTGTGTTAGAATGATTTTATATATCAAGACAAAAAGGAAAAAGAAAATTAACTAAAGAAAGGCAGTCAAGGGAAAAACAATAAGTGCACTTGAGTTTGCGGGTTTAGTGGCGTCAAATCACGTTTAAAGTGCATTCCTTTCTTGGGCAACGGTTCGAATTCGACTCTTGCAAATTTGTTAAAAAAAAAAAAAAAGAAAAAACAATAATTCGTTGATGTGAGGTCGACCCTCCATCTATAAATTTCTAAAGATGCGTGCGATGTCTCAAAATTTGAAACGCAAGTGTAATTTACGTGGAGCTAGATAAATTTAATGGTAAATTAATTTTTTTAGACAATTTAAAAAAATAAGTAAAGAATATTTAAAACTTTTTTTAGTAAAAAAATAAAATTTTAAAATTTTTAATAAATTAATGGTTTTTTAGTTAACGTATGTTTTTGAAAGAAAGAAAAAAAAATGAAGTCTCAAAAAGACTTAATTAGTTAAAATTAATTAAATTTAATATTTTCAATATGAAGGTTTTAAATTTAAATATTTAATAAGTTAAAAAAACAAATAAAATGAAAAAATGCATATAACCTAACACTTGATGTAAAAAATCAAAAAAGAAAGAAAAAAAGAAAAGAAAGAAAAAAGAACGCAATTTAGGAAGAACAGAAAACTCTTACATACCTATTTGAGATACATAGTTTCTTCAATATCAACAGATAGCAAATTGCTTGGGAATAATTAATGTAAATCTATACTCTTTGAAGTAGAGTATGGATTTCACCACGATGATGCAATACCTGGAGAAGGGTGCACGCACAGATCATAAGTTGTAAAGTTTGTACCATAACCAATAGTACAAAATCATCCAAAAAGGAGGAAAGAATAGAAAAGAAAAGAAGAGAGAAAACAGAAGAAAAAGATAGCTAGGCAGTGAGATGGAAGTAAATGTTTACAAAGTTTGCAACTAAGCATGTGTTGTATATTTAGAGAATATACAGTAGATGTAGATCTCCTTTTGAATGATTTTATATGTGAAGAACAAAAGGAAAACGAAAATTAACTAAGGCACGGTAAAAGGTAAAATAATAATGCCGTTGATGTGAAGTCAACCCTCTAATCTTGTAAGTTTATGATGATGAGTGCAATGTCTCAAATTTTGAAGTATTTATCTAATTTATGTTTTAAAATCTTAAGAATATAAATTAAGAGTATAATTAATATATTTTTTTAATATTAATTAATATAAAAATTAATATTAATTTTATCATTAATGTTACATGTATTATTTTAATTAGACATTGATTAAATAAATATCTAATTTTATTTTTTTTATAACAATTAATGTTAAAAATGTGTTTTTAAAGTACAGATTGAAAAACCTAATTTTGAAATAGAAGTGTAATTTAAGTGGTATACGGGTTTAATGGAAAATAAAATTTTTAGACAATTAAGGAATAAGGTCAGTGTTTATCTGTTCATTTTTTTAAAATTAAAATGAAAATTATTTTAAAATTATAGTATTGTTTTAATAAAACATTATAAGAAAAGTAAAAATAGTTTAATATATATTTTTAAAATAATGTATTTTAATCTTTTTAATAAAATTTTATTAAAACAATATAATTTTAGAATAATTTTTTCTTTAATTTTTAAAAAATAAGACAAATAAGTACTCTTTTCTTAAAAACTAAGTAAAAAATATTTAAAATATTTTATAGTAATAAATAAAAT